AGCTATGATCGCACCTCTGCACTCCAATCTGGGCAGCAGAGCAAGACCCCGTCTCAAAATTAAACAAAAACAAAAACACATAAATCTTGCAACCCTCAGTTATGTGACTCTGGGGCACTGAGCAACTTAGATGAAAACAAGCTAAGCAATGGAAGGTCATTGTTTAACTATGCCTATTTTTTAGCAAACTTCAAGCCCTTATCAAATCTTAAATTTGTCTTATGAATGCAGGTTCAATCTTCGATAAGAAGAAGGTTCAGTTTCCCTTGTCTGGGCAACATGGTGAAACCCCATCTGTACGAAAAATGTTTTTTAAAAAATTAGCTGGGTATGGTGGTGCATGCCTGGTTCCAGCTTTTGTTTTTCTTCAAAAATCAATTTAATCACCTTAAAAATATTTATATTGCCTTTTTTTTTTTTTTTCCCGCTTAGACGGAGTCTTGTTCTATTGCCCAGGCTGGAGTGCAGTGGCACAATCTCAGCTCACTGCAACCTCCACATCCCAGGTCCAAGCAATGCTCCCACCTCAGCCTCCTGAGTAGCTAGGACTACAGGCATAAGCCACCATGCCTGGCTGATTTTTGTATTTTTAGTCGAGACGAGGTTTCACCATGTTGGCCAGGCTGAACTCGAACTCCTGACCTCAGGTGATCCTCCTGCCTGAGCCTCCCAAAGTGCTGCGATTACAGGCATGCATCACCATGCCCGGCGCTTTTCTGTTTTAAATACTCCTCTTCTATGTGATAGTAACAAATCCACTTTTTCCCTCCTGCCTCTCTCCCTGCTCCTCACTGGCTGATCTGCAGTGATAGACTCTCACTCTGTCTCTTAGGCTGGTGTGCCCTAGCACGATCTCAGCTCACTGCAACCTCCGCCTCCCAGGCTCAAGAGGAGGCTGGTCTTGAACTCCTGGTCTCAAGCAATCCTCCCAGCTCAGCCTCCCAAAGTGCTGCACCTGGCCACCTTTGCTCACTTTAGAACCCCTGGGTTTGCCTCCCCTCTGTTCCCTGCACACTGGGAAGAGAGGTAGGTATGAAAGCGTCACATTTGTCAACCATCTTTGTCTGGTGGAGGCAGGAGGAAAATGTGTTCAGGGATGTGGGTTTTTACAATTTTTCCTTTTCCTTTTATTTCTGTGATGAATATCTGTTCAACATCTCAATAACAATTTTATTGTGCTTGCTTTGAAGCTTAAGCATATGGCACAATTTAATTTATTTTTTATTTATTTATTTTTTGAGACAAAGTCTTGTTCTGTTGCCCAGGCTGGAGTGCAATGGCGCAATCTTGGCTCAGTGCAAACTCCCCCTCCCGGGATAAAGCGATTCTCCTACCTCAGCATCCCAAATAGCTGGGATTACAGGCACCCACCACCACACCTGGCTAATTTTTGGATTTTTCCCAAGTAGACAGTATAGCAAGGTGAGAATCTGCCTCAGCGAATATCAGAAGTATGTAAGACCAACAGAGTGGAAATTTCTTTCTTTCTTTCTTTCTTTCCTTCCTTTCTTCCTTTTTCTTTCTTTCCTTCTTTCTTTCTTGCTCTCTCTCTCTCTCTCTCTCTCTCTCTTTCGAGACGGAGTCTTGCACTGTCACCCAGGCTGCAGTGCAGTGGCACAATCTCAGCTTACTGTAACCTCCGCCTCTCAGGTTCATGCAATTCTTCAGCCTCAGCCTCCCAATTAGCTGGGATTACAGGCGCACACTACCATCCCTGGCTGGTCTTAAACTCCTGACCTCAGGTGCTCCACCCTCCTCGGCCTCCCAAAGTGCTGGGGTTACGGGTGTGAGCCACTGTGCTTGGCCAGAAATGTTTTATAAATGGAAATATTGTAACTGTTGTTAAACATATGAGCACTCTTTTTAAAAATTGTAGTAAAAAAATGTGTAATGAGTATTTCACATTGTTGTGCAATCAATCTTTAGAAACTTTTCGTCTTGTAAAACTGAAACACTATACCCATCAAATAATTCCTTTTTTTCCCCCTCCTTCCAGCCCCTGGCAACCACTATTCTACTTTCTGTTTCTATGAGTGTCAGATACCTCATGTAAGTTGAATCAAGACAGTATTTGTCTTTTTGTGACTGACTTATTTCGCATAGCTTAATGTCCTCAATGCTCATCCATGCTGTAGCATTTCCTTTTTAAGGCTGAACAATAGCCCACTGTATGTAGAGATCACAGTCTGTTTATCCATTCTTTTGTCCATGAACACCTGGGTGGCTTCTACCTTTTAACTCTTGCAAATAAGTCTGCTCTGAACGTGAGTGTGTAAATATCTCTTCCAGATCCTGCTTTCAATTCTTTTGGATGTATACCCAGAAGTGAAATTTAAGCACTCCAGCTTGGGCAACAGAACAAGACTCCATCTCAAAAAAAAAAAAGGTGGAGGGGGCAATAAAAAATGCTTTTAAGGTGATTGAGTTGCTTTTTAAAGCAAAACAAAAGCTGGAACTAAGCATTCATCCCCATGCCCAGCTAATTATTTAAAATTTTTTTTCATAGAGATGGAGTTTCACCATATTGCACAGACTGGTCTCAGACTTCTGAGCTCAAGTGATCCACTCACCTCAGCCTCCCAAAATGCTGGGATTACAGGCATGAGCCACCACACCCAGCCCCCTCTGTGTCTGTTTCTGATTAAGCAATCTTCATCAATTTTTCAAAATATATTATTAAATATGTAATAAAAAAGCAACTCAGTCAGCCTACATGGAAATTGGTCACTGTAGCAGTTAAGAACTCATTCAATTTACGTTTAAATTTCTATGCCCACTTACCATCTGTAAGAACTCAGAAAAGTTATGGAGTCCTCTGAGCCTCAGTGGCCTCATCTGTAAAATGGAAGCATGAAGCATCACTTGCTTGTGAAGATGGAAGGAGAATGTTATGTACAAAATTTTTCGTTTGTTGCCACAAAGAAAAATTAGTACTGGGACAAAGAATCTCTCAGCAAAGCAATTCTTTTTACTTCCTACAGAAAGGGTACACCCACCAGCAATCTTGCCACGAGGGTACAATGAGTAAAGGAAAGCAGACATTTATTTCTTATGTATTTGGGATGGTCCTTACTGCTGTGTCCGATCTCCATTGGCTGGAGCCAGACATCACAATCTAAACTAAAACCTGATTGGTTAATAACTTGAAACTTTTCTAAAGAGATGGAAGCAATGAAGGGCAAAAAAAGGAAGTCCAAATAAGGAAGAGACATAGGCTGCAAGCTGGGACATGCCCGGCAGCACGTTCAGCACATATATCTTGGTTAAAGTACAAGGAGATAGAATGTACTAGGTGCCTGTAAGCATGTCTAACAGCTACGTAGGATAGGGCTTCTAGCAAAAAGGCAAGAAGGCTTTTGAAGAAAGTGTTTAAAACAATTATTTCTAACACTTATGAATTCTTAAGAAAGGAACTTTGAAGAGGAACTTTCCTACAATTTTCCTCCTCTTTTACTTTATGGTTCCTCCTCAGGCTTGTTTAACATATCTTGACTCAACTGCTCTGTTTGACTTTCTACGAGAAGTAAGTTTTCTGAATAAGGTTGGGGAGGGTTCAAGGAGATTTTAGTAAGCGCTGTGTTTACTAGTCTTTGTACTCGCCCGCAGATGCATGGTATAATACAGCACCCAACAAGAGGGAGTATACTTATTACAGTTGCTGAGGAAGTAAGAATTGAGGCTATGATCTCTTGGCCAAACCATCTCTCGAGCCAATTTGAAATAAGGTTGTAAATGTTGGAATTTTTTTGCTAACTCATTTGATAAGGCAGTAAGCCCTTGGAGGGCTTGTGTTATGTTTCCATTGGAAGCACTGTTGTTTGGAATAAAGGCGCAACGCTGAGTTTTGATCATAACACAAACACCAACTTTTTCTGCTAATATCATATCTAAAGCTATCCCAGTCTCCCAGGCCATTTGACTAGTGGATCTTAATTGTTCAGCTACTCCCTTAACGGCATCTTTAGGAGAGTTAACAAAAAGCTGCTCTTTGTAATAAACGTCGTTTACCCAATCTACGTTTTTATTATTCGTCACTCACCAAAACACATTGACTCAAAACCTGTAGCTTTAAATTTTAGATTCCTGGCTTTAAATTTTTCTGGTACTCCATGAGGAACTCCAATGGCATCTAAATAGATATGGGAATCAAAAGACCCATAAGGGTCTGCTTCCTTTGAGTCTTCTCTTATCTGCCTGTGTCGTATTTTTCTCTCTTTCTGGTTGATAAAATGCCAGGGTAAAAAGGTTAGCCAAGTGAACTAGAGCACAAGTACCATTCCAGTTGTTTGGCAGAGTGTCCAGTAAAGGCCCTCCACAATACCACCATGCGTCTGCTCGGGGATGAGTAAGGGTGGACTGATGGGTCGGCTTTTGGAAGTGCCTGACTTCACTGCATCCTGTTACGTTTCCAAGGAACACTAAGTTATCCCCCTGTCATGAGAGACATGAGGTGAACTTTGCCTTGGGAAATGGAGGCTGTATGGCCCTCGGGGGCTGACCTGCAAGGTGTTGAACTTCAGGAAATAGCAGAGAAAGAGCTTGGCATAATTCATTATCCCAGGTGGTGGAATCTTGAAAAAAAGCTACCATGCACTCCATGTCCACTTGATTCGAGGACCATCTAAGTGGAAAGGAAACAATCTGGGCCTCAGCTCTACAGTGTGTACAAGTGTAACACTTGCTTATTTAAAGTGCAGATGGAATATTTATTCTAACCAGACATTTGCATCTTGGTATCCTGCTTCAATAGCTACGGTCTGTCTTAAGTCTTTTACTTCCACTACAGAAATTTTGGTTTTGTCATTGTGCCAGGGAGGAGTGATTGATAAAGAGATTGAAGGAGCAATAAAGCACATTTCAAAGCTTCCTTTAGGATCTTTTCCTGAAACATCAGCTCCCATGCCATAAATATGTCGTAATGAGGGGGAAGAGCTTTTAGATATTGGACAGCATGAGCCCACCTTGTATGAAAGTTAAATCCTCTGTCTTCTGATTTTCAGGACGTGAGGCTCTGCCTACAGTCAGCCACTTGGAATATTCAGACTTCAAACCAGCATTGCAGATTATAACCCTCCATAAATCATCCACAGCCCAACCCCTATCAAATGCCAGACTGAAACACTCATGGACATGTGACTTCAGTGTTCCCAACAACATCTTAAGATCAACTTGGTTTATGCAACGTTTGAATTGATTTGGGACAAAGCAAGAACAATAAGGGTAAAAAAGTAAGTTTCCATACAGCTGAATTTATTCAGTGACATGAACTACCCTTCCTTCTAAATGGGGTCTTACTCTTTTTTTCTTTAAGACAGAGTCTTGCTCTGTCACCCAGGCTGGAGTACAGTGGCATGATCTTGGCTCACTGCAACTTTCACCTCCAAGGGTCAAGTGATTCTCCTACCTCAGCCTCCCAGGTACCTGGGATTACAGGCACATGCCACCATGCCCAGCTAATTTTTGTATTTTTAGTAGAGAGAGGGTTTTACCATGCTGGCCAGGCTGGTCTCAAGCTCCAGACCTCGTGATCCAGCTGCCTTGGCCTCCCAAAGTGCTGGGATTATAGGCGTGAGCCACTGCACCCGGCCTGCCCTCTCCTTTTTTTAATGTCCATAAAATGTTTTATGCGATAATGGTGACAGTCAATTGTGATAGCTGTCATTGCCTTTAATGTATTTAGTTGGCAAAACAGAATTTTAGTGGGACTAGTTTCTTTCCTTCTCTCCATTCTCTGCTACAAAAACCATTTTTAAAAAGTTGGTTGGTCTGTTTTGAGTCAAATAAATGACGATTCATTGGAACTAGTTAAGAGCTTCTGTAGAATCATTTTTCTAATTTTAAATGTGCGTCTTAAGTATGTAGGGATCTTGTATCATTTACAAGATCATCGCTAGAACAGAACGTTGATTTCATTTAGGTTGAAAGGTTAATTGCGTTTTCATGACAAAGTTCACCCCATTAGAAGACGAAACGTACAGCTCAAATTGGACATTGAGGCCTCATTTTGCCTGTCTCATGGCAACTTCCTGCTCTTGGTGCTGATCAGTCTGCTGTTTTGTGAGGCCCTGGTTTCTCTTTCCTGTCTTTCAGGTAACAAATGGCCTCAGTTAGAAAATTAACTTTTGGACAATTCACAGGCTGCATGGTCACTTGCTCTAGCCAAGCCTGGGACAGGAGATGGGGAAAGGAGATTAAAGACAAGAATCATAGCTGGCCATCTGCTGCTGGCACCTGTAGAGCTAAAGCATTCTTTGTGACAGTTCCATGATATTCCACTGCGCAAATGTCCTGTGACTGATTCAGCTCATCTCCTATTGGTGAATGTTTGAATCGCTTCCAGTTTTTTGTTGTTACACACAAAGCTTGCCCTGGCAACCCTTAGCAGTTCTGGCTGAGTGTCTGGGTTTTGTGAGATCATTTTGGTGGTGCAGAATAGAACTCGTGAGTGGGTGGTCTCGCATTCTGCTAGCTTGAGGCTGGGAGAAGTAGGAGGCAGCAGAGAGCCAGTTGAATAGCTTGAATATGACCTCATCCATATTCTAGGATGTAATTGATCCCTTGAAGATTTCTGAATTAGCTGAATGACAAAGACAAGATAGTTTGATGATCCATTCAAATCAGGAAGCCTTACAACATCAAATAAGGAGTCCTCAATTAACAGCCTTAGAAGACATGTCATTGCTTGGTCATGTGATTGAAAACCATTCAAACCGAAGTGAGAAACCCTAAATAGGATATGGAAAGGAGGACTTGAAATAAATGGATCAATAGCCCTTATTGAGGAGGTGCTAGAGAAACAAAAACTAGGGAGAAGGAAAGTAGGATAATACCCTCTTTGTGCTTTTTCCATGGCAGCAGGAAGCATTATCATGCCTTTGAACCTTCAGGATATCTCATTTACTCCTCTAATAGTTAACAGGAAGCTAAGGGTAAGGTTCTCAGGAGGCAACACCTGCTTCATTTGACATCAGTACAAGAGACTATTTCCTTGTGGCCATTTCCTCCTTTCTTTTTCCCAATCCTTTTCTGTCGGTTTAGCTGTTTGTTTAGGTATTTGTTGCAGTACAGGTGGTAGTGGTTACAGTGTTTGTTCCCAACTGTGAAACAGACGTGCAATACACAAGCTCTTGTCAAATGACAATGGAGGAGAGAACTGCAGCAACAGACTTGAAGCTAATTGTTGGCCATCACATATAACATCTATCAATCAATCATCTATCTACCCACCTATCTGTTTATCTAATCTATGTGTATTTTTGTGTGTGTGTTATATGAATGTGTATATATAATGTATATTATATGTAGATCTATTATATATGTATATATGAATAAATATATACATAAATTGTATGCATGTCTGTGTGCATATATACATATAATATACATATATGAATATTATATATCTGTTTACATATGTATATATGTATTCAAAGATATTTGTGCATATACAATATAAATATTTGTGTGTATATATACATATATATAAATTTGTCAAAGATTCAAAACAAAGACAAAAATGATTTGTATCAGTTAGGCTAGCCTAAGCTCTGGTGCTCAAAATAAACTACCTTAAAATCTAAATGTCTTCAAACATAAAAGTTTGTTTCTTGCTCATGAAACTCTAAGGTGGGTTGGTGCAGGTGGGCAGTGATCCATTTAGTCATGCAGGAACCCAGGCTGGTGACTGGGTCCCCTATGGGAATATCACTGGTTGTCATGGCAGCAGAAGGGGAACCAGAGGGTCTTATTTTGGCTTTTGAATTCTTTCACTTGGAAGTGACAGAGTCACTTATGCTCACAGCCCATTGGCCAGAGATAGCCGTATGCGATTGTCTTCCTTCATCACCATGACCTAGAGGGGACTCCAGAGTCTCTTCCCAGCTCCACTCCTGCAGCCCCCTTCTGAGTGCTTTGTTTGCTGGTGACCCTGAGTCCTGGCTTCATTATATTTTTATTCAATCCCTTTGAAAGAGTTCCCATGATAAATTCTTTTCAGAAATTGATACTGGGAGGAAGTGTGGTCCTCTGGAAAAATTGGTATATTGCCTTTCTTTCCTCACATATAGTGAGTATTAGATAACTTGTCATGATTCCCTTTTAGTCTTGGCTGATAAGAAGCTCAGGGCAAAATTTAGTTCTCAGGTACAGTCACTGTGTCAGCCTGGGAATTTTATAGGATTGCTCCTTCCTCTATCTGATTATAAGACATTTCCTTTTTCTTTCTTTCTTTCTTTCTTTCTTTCTTTCTTTCTTTCTTTCTTTCTTTCTTTCTTTCTTTC